TGTGCATGGTTTGTTGCTCAAATAAGGTATGAAATGATACTCAGCTAAGGTTAATCCATCTGGATCATCTTGTCGCCGTGACATAATAGTTGAATCAGCTCCACGCATTTCAACAATATTACCTAAAACTCGAACATTAGTATGAGGATTTAGAATATATTGTACTAATTGATGGTGTGAGTTAGTTACTTCTTCTTGCATTTCATCATTATTAGGGCTATCTATCTCATCCTCTTGTAAGTAGTAAGTTTGTTTCGTGGGGTTAATAGAAATATAGCGAATTCGTGTTGGTAAGCGTAAACTACGTCCAATCAAGTTTACTGACGACATTTGTAGCATAGCGTCAAGAAACGTAACCCAATTTCCTTCCCAAATAATTTGGCCACTTGTTCCATCAAGTGATGCATCGTGAATGGATCTAAAGCTTAAACTATAATCAAAACCGCGTAGACGTAGTACCTTATAGACATCTTCATTAGATAATCTTAACTCTTCTTCATAATCTATTGGCGATAACTGACTAACAGTAATATTCTCTTCAGCTTCTTTAATTTCTCCAGTAACTATTATATTATTGCTATGTTCTATTTCAAATTTTCCAGTTTTCACTTTAATATCGACGTTAAACTTGACAATACCAGTAGATGGTAGTAACGTCGCTTGATGAATTTCAACGTCTTTAAATATAACAGGTAGCCTTGTATAGGTTGTACCTAATAATCGAGCTAACGCTTTCCATGCAAGTAATAAATAACCTGCGAATGGATAAATTATTCGGTTATCGATTACATGGCCTAAGATATAATGATCAGGCGAATCTGCGGAGAGATCGATATCGAATGTAATAGCAGAAGAAGAGTTTTGATCACTCTTTAAATAGAACATATCGAGAGTAGGTATAGCCCAAGTTTGAGAATGATCCCAGCTGATTGCTGGTGCAATAGACGGAGTACCTGCAGGCACCTATAACGAGAAATAAAGAAAGAAATCTTCTTTATCATTATTATAAAATTTTACAATGCAAAAAGAATATTTAGTAAACTCTATAATAAAAGCTAACGTTTTATATACTGTAGTGTATAGATCGTTCGACGTTACTTAATTACAACCTATTTTAAAACTAAAAGAATGCAGCATTAATAACATGCCACAGAAAATTACTATAAAATACTATCCTATATATGATACAAGTATTGAAGTTTTACTGCATAACGTAGCATGTTGTATACCGATGATTGCATGCGAGATAGAGAAGACCTGGACCCCCGCGAAAAATAATAACAAAAAGATAATAAAAGGAAATAAAAAATGAAACACTAAAAATCGGATATATACGCCGCGCGAGCGCAAAGAAATATATATATCGTTTCGACTCTGAAATTTTCTATATATATTTATGTAATAATGTATGCGCGATTCGCGATTTTCTCTATCTCATGTGCAATATTTTGATACATTAGAGATTGTATTAATTATGATAAACTAGAAACTATTCGTCCAATTGAGCGATTTAGACGAGAAATAAAGACTACTCAGTTGAGGGTGTTAGTCTGTTTCTTCCTCAGATACATAATAATTTGCCTATATTAGCAATTATCATATAAGAAATATTACCGGGAGTCACCACTATTGAATTAGATAACATATCATAACCTATTTATAATTAAGTTATTTAGAGTTATGATTTAAGGTGAGGGGAGAAGTTTAACTAATGATTTTTGTTACATTGAGTAATAAAGTGATTTAATGTTAGCAAAGTTATTAAGAAATTTATGTAGAATTTGATTGCGTTATACAATGTCTATTTGACGATGCACGCGTAGTTGACTGAGATTCTATTTAGAAAGCATTAGTCCTAATTTTATCATAATTATTGATGACTACTGTAGATGTATCGTCAGATGAATTGATAAACCAAATAGAGTAGTCGTGAAGAGTGCATGCATACATTAATTTTTAGTGTGGCATTTGTATTTATAACAAATCTACATGTAACACAATTTTTAGAATCGAGAAATTACACCCAGTGTTCATAATTATAATTGATCATTATAGATAATACCTAGACAAAGCCCACATAAATACATTCAAGTATTAATTATTACCGGATAAGAGATTTTAGGCAGAAGAGGCGAAGGATCAATATTTATCCCTTGAAGATACAGCTTGCCAAGCGAATTTAAGAATAATTCACGATTATCGGAATGATGCTTACGCATGGTTTTAAGTACTAACGAATTCGATGTAAGATTTCGCTTTATAACAGCTTGAAGAATATGATGAGGACTAATTTCGATAACTATAGCATTATCTGGTATAGCTTTCATCGCTTCATAGAATAGTACTGGATTGATAAAATTATTATGGTAATATTTCGCTGAAGCGTACATTGCATAGTCGTCATTGATTTCTGATTTGGGAACTGAGGTAGTTATCCATCGCGAAGAGCGCAACTTCGGCGTTTTAAGAATTTTCTTCAAGGCAGATTTGAATAGCGATGCACCTTTAGCAATATATGGAGAATGGAAAGCTATGCCGGAACTATTAACTCTTCTTGTAAAAATTTCTAGATAAATTAACAGCAGTTATAAATTTAAATCGATATAAAATTGTATCGTACGTACTATGATTACAGGATATTATCAATTCTTGATGAATAATAAAAGCAATAATTATTACGTTTATTTTTATTGTTGAGCTAGCAATGTTAAATAAACAGAATTGTAGGCTTCTGATCTAATCGTATATTATACTCTACTTTCATTCTACAGATTAAAACAAAGTACCCGAAAAGTTACAAACCTTGAGATTGAAGTTCCGTAATCATCACGTCAATTTGATTTGGATCGCCTGAAATAGTAATAGCTCTTTCAGCATTATGACAAGCTGCTACAACATCTGGCAGACAACGTTGTTTGGCTTCTTCCCAACTTAGTCCTACTACCGCCATGGCTCCGCTATCTACCTTAGCGTCAAGAATCGATTGTCCTCGCCAGTAAGCAATCTGTAAAGCTGTCTCAGCTGTAAGTGCGCCATCGGCATAGCCACAAGCTATTTCGCCAACACTATGACCTATTAAACCTGTAATTATTTTAATTTTAAATTTGTGTCTTTTACTGATCGAAGTATTCAAGTGTTAAAATCTACATTATAGAGGCGGATTAGTTTTGAACTAGCTAATTCGTCTACATAATATAATAAATTCCATTTAAATTACAATATTTACCATCGTATTCGATTCCACAAGCTCGAAGACAATCTATAAGAGCTATTTGAACTGCTACAAGACCAATAAATGCATCTCTTACATTATCGTAAACATTAGGATCTTCACTAAATAATATATTTATAAGATCTAATCCTATAGGCATCAATATTTCGCGTGCTCTCGTGATTGTATTTTTGAAAACCGGAAATTTCATCATGTTCTGACCCATTTTATTCCAATTAGCTCCCATTCCAGAAAATATCCACCAGATAGGTCGCTTATCTGATACAGTAAGATCGATATCTTGAATAGACTCTTGACTATTTAGTAAAGCAAAGCCACGCATCGGATGATAATTATTACTTATCGGTGTAGCAGACGTACTGTTAATTAAGTTAATTAAATACGGATTATCGGTATTTTTGTGACCAAGATGGATTAAGCTTTGGACGCTTTCTCGTGTACGCCCAGAACATAGAATAAGTGATAGTTCTTGATATTTACTTCGATCGATATCTTGACGATATACATCAGGCTTTAATAAAAGATGAGCGATAGCTCCTCCAAAACCGAAAGAATTAATTCCAACGTATCCATCTATTAAAATAAAATTCGTCAAGTAAAGTTACGTTAGTTTTTGTTAAATTAATATACAATAAAATACAATATGCGATAATGTTTACTTTGAAGTAACTATGGTGAGTTACTTCGGTACGGTACTTAGTTAATCGTTATTCACCTGGGAAAGTTGTGGGTTCTGTTACTACTTTTATACTTCCATCAAGTAATCCCGGAATATCTGGATTAGGCTGATTAAAGTGTAAATTTGGGGGTAAAATGCCATGTTGAGCACTCAGAATAACCTTGACTACACCAGCTAAGCCAGACGCCGCCTCACAATGGCCCATGTTCGACTTAACAGATCCTATTAAAAGAGGTTTATTCTGGCGGTCTTCTCCAATAAAGACAGAAGCGATAGCATTGACTTCTTGTGGATCGCCAGCCTTGGTGCCGGTTCCGTGAGCTTCGACATAGTTAACCTCTTTTTGCGGATCGATTCTGGCTTCTTGATAAACCTGTTGAAGTAATAGACTTTGAGCAGCTCCATTAGGGAACGTTATACCTTGTTGTTTAAAGCCATCGCTAGCTGATTTACTATGGATAACTGTCGCATAATTTCGTTTAGCTTGAGATTTCTTAAGTAGTAACAATGAGACGATTCCTAAACGTTTATTTGTTCAAAGTTAGTAATATCAGGAATATTCATCACTAACACAGTAAAAAAATTTCAGTTAAGACAAGTAATCGAATCGTGTGCCAACATACTTAGCACCTGCATGAGCTTTACTGTATGAACTTTACTCTATCTTAGCTATAAACACGTATCATAGTAGCGACACATGAAGCGATATCATTAAGGAATTAACAATACAATTAAGGTTAGTATTTTATAATAAGATATTTACTATAAGGATATTTTTATTAATCCATATTAATTGCTCTTTCTCATCTTTTCATTTGTAGCTTTATCTATTACTATTAAATTGCCTGTTCAAATGAATGGGTATAAATTCCACACCAAGTTATACAGTAAATAGTTTTTTTTATCTAGTTATCTACTATATATATCGTAGAAAAGTACAATTTGTAGTTAAGTTACGATTATTATTATATTAGTGGTGTTGGGAATAAAGGATACAATTTATCTGATCATATGTGTTTAATAATTAGTTTTTTATAGAATACTTTAGAATAGTAATTTGATTGTCTGGTACCATCAACTAATCTATATAACATATAAAAGGTCGCGTAGTTCAGTGGAAAAGTATCATAATTCAAGATTTAGTTCCAACTAGGAAATATTAAGAAGTTCAAGATACTGAGAGTAACTTTTTGATAGTTTAGTTGGTCGAGGCGGTAAATCTGCCCTTATTGTAACTATTTTAAGTGAATTTATAAGTGGTTTATTAAAATTTAAATAAACCGGTGTTTTTCCTTAGTTTAGTCGAAAATTTCAAAGTGATTGTTTGCTCATTGTAAAGTATATCTTTTTGTCGTTACTACCAACCTTCTGATCGACAATATCCATTACCAGAAATATCGAAAGATTTGCAGGCGCCTTCAGGTGATAGCATACTTAATTTCACAAATTCTAAGCTTGTGTGAGGTTTAACATCAATCGTTGAACCACTGACGATAGCACCCTCGCAAACTCCTGTTTTAATTGCTCTAACAGCCTGATCAAGAGCAACTATTGACGAAGAACAAGCTGTATCTATTGCAATACTGGGTCCTGTTGAAATGAAAGATTCGAATACAGGAAAATATTTTAACGTATGTTTTTTAATTAAATCTCTTTTTTTAACATAAATTATATGGTCATTTAAGTTGTTTCTCTTACCATTAAAATTGAAATAATGTGATAACCGATTGGATAACATGCAGGAACTACAACCTGTCATACTATAACCAATTTGTGTATCGGGATTCGATTGATAAGCTTGCATGGCTTCCGATCCACTTTGACCGACAAAAACACCCCATTTTCGACCGCGAATGTCTATTGGATTTATTCCACCATCTACTATTGCTTCGTAAGTTACTTCTAATAATATTCTTAACTGAGGGTCCATAGTGTTGCATTGCTTAGCATGGACTCCAAAGAAGATTGCATCAAAGTGCTCTATATCTTTCAATTTACCATTTCGTTTAGGTAAACCATATATACCAGGCGGCCAACGTCGATCATCTTCGGTGACCATATCATTTCCTTGAATTAAATGTTGCCAAAATTCTTCAGTATTATCGGATTCAGGCATTCGGCAAGATATGCCGGCAATAACAATATCTTCATCGCAAATTTGGAACATCTATCATTGATAAAGAAACTTTCTTATACGAGTATCGATAGAAAATTTATATAAAACAGCTAGGTATTATATCATTTATGGTCAAGATTGATCTATGGTAAATTATAGAAATTGGATAACAACCTCTCAACTGTCAGGAATTTAGAAAATATTAGTGTTTGAAGTGTCGTATAGAGTAATATAATATCTTATTTTCTTGGAAACATAACTTTACGTAAACTTGAAATCACACAATACGAGTATCTTGTAATAATGTTTATAGCCCTTACCGTTCTTCAATCTGCACTACAAGAAGCCCGCATGTTATTATTCTTATAAATTGAAAAAGGCTGTAGAGCCTGTACTATGCGTATTTTTATAGCTGTAATCAAGAAGAAGCAAAAATATTACGCACTACAGTATACGAAAGATTATGAGTATATTGTAATAAAAGCCAATGACACAGAATAAGTAGGAGAAATAAGTATACCTATACTGCTATCACTATTCAAAATAAACTTATATGGTTATAGTGTGAAAGAGACTTGATACCGTTTTGTAACTACAACAAGGTAGAATGGGCAAAGCGTCCAACTCAGAATGTAACTAACAGGATTAATTAATAAGATCGACGGTAAAACAAGCTTTTCTAATTTTAAGATAAATATTTTTAAATGTTCAGAAGCAATAAACATTAGTAGATAATAGGGTTATGGATATGCTGTGGATAATGATAATGTGATGATTGATATATGCGGTTCACAAATAAAATATAAAGACCGCCCCGAGACCTACTGCTGCTAGGGCCCAATTATAGAGGTATAGCGACAAAAATATCATATGGTGCTGAGTCTACGGACTAAAGAATTATCTTCGTATACACTGCAACAGTTTGCCATTATAAAAAATAAAAAAGAATTTATTATGAAGAATGGCGATTGTACATGTTATTCTGAATCCAATTCTTGGCCCAACAACTTTACTCGTATTTAATTTCATGTAATAGTAACGACTTGGCATTAACTAGCAAACTCTTCTAATTAAAGAACATATGTTGGTAGTCTATCGTACGTTTCTTACTTTATAATTTAATTTCACGTTAGTTACTAGCGTTATTGACGCTACAAAAACATAGACCATAATCGAATTCACTCCAAATTGATGGCTAGTAATCTAATCAACAAACAAAGATATTATGCAGTTACCGCTAACTCCTCTGAATTGACATTATTGTAGTAAAGTAAAAGAAATAAAGTCATGTAATTATATAAGCGTATACAGTAGTATTGTTATTATAAGGCCTAAGAACTACCCTTCTAAAAAGCAGGCCATCAGTAAAACTACCATACTCTATTCTATAGAACAACTTTATTCAGTGAATTCGCCACCAGCTATTTTCGATAAAATCAGCTCTATGTAATGCCATAATTATAGTTATATATGCAATATATACTTGTCACGGACTACTTTCCGACAAGTTTACTAGTCTAATGCAAAGCACTTACAGTGAGTTTCTCTAAAGATGACTGCCCTAATCTTATATAAGTGTATATATACAGTAGTATTTTGACCATAACACCTAAGATCTACCCTTCTAAAAAGCACACCATCACTAAAAATACTATACTCTATTCTATAGTACAACTTTATTCAGTAAATTTCGCTACCAGCTATTTTCGATAAAATCAGCTCTACAGTAATACTGAAATACTGTGAACATTAATATTTCTATAAACTCTATAGTTTTAGGTAACGTAATGTCGTAACAATACTACAGCGTACTACATGTAAGTACGCAAGCGAGTAAATAATATTTTTTGGTAATAAAACACCAAATATCGCGTCTAATAAAATTCACATGATTATGCAATAATATTCTACTCTTTCCTTGATTTATTAGTACGTGAATTATTTGTCTGCAGTTTATTTTATAAAATCGTAAGTCATTACATTCATCAAATTGCTGCTGATATTTTTTAACAAAAGCAGATTATTAACCTTACGATGATTAGAGTGATAATAAAAATGTTTTTAATTATGCTTATTTATTTCTCAAATGTGCTAGTACGTGAATTAACAGAAAAGCCATAATTACTTCAAATAAGATATAGTAATACCACTAAAAACATGATTATAATGTCTACAAAAAAGCAAGTTAACGTAAATTGTAAAATCATGGATTTTACTGTATAATACGAAGCCGTGATTTAGGAATGATTGCAAGATATTAAGTATAATTAACAGCACAAGTACTTATAATACTATAACGAATAAATGACAGACTTGATATTTAAGATATACTTTAAATAATCCATAATTGTTTTCAATTATATTATCATAACATACTTAGGAATAAGTAATACGGATGTAAAGACTTATAAACTAGTTCAGTGTTTATTCATGCATATAATATATAACCATAGAGCACACATGTTTATA